CATATTCTTGATCCATGCGTGATTTCGAAGCTTTCTGCATCATTCAATTTTATTTTCATGGCTTCTAATGTGTTACCCGAACCTAGGGTTTCTTTTCTCTGTTTTTAGGCGTTTTGTGTACAGGCAAAATCAAGGCAAACCATGGCCATATTTGTGTTCAGGGGAGAGAGACGAATCCAATGATGGTCGTAGCCTGCATTTTTGTGACCTAGGATGGATTTTTGAGACGTCCCACGAATCTTCCTGCGGATAAAAATCCGCAGGTAAATAACCAGGGTCGTTTGAAGAAGACGATAGCGTGTCCCTTTGCTATTGGTCCATTCAAATCAGTGGCACTCTTTTTTTTATTATTTCAGGCTTAGCGTTTTGTTTTTTATATAGTATTCACTTCTCATTCCAATAACAATTGAGCAGTTTGGTTGGAGTGGTTGAGCGTGCAGGCATATGAGCAATGAGACCTGGGTTCGAATCCCAGGCCCCTCAAAGCATTTGTGTATTTTTTCTTCAGGGAGTTACATGTACTTCCTAAAGCGTTGGTCCACCATGCTCCTCATACCATCAGGCGCCAGGTGGTCTCAGATCAAATCAAATGGCCAGGAGTGAAGGACTACCATGATCTCAAGTCAATGGACATGTGGACAATCTGAAAAGTCAAGGCAGGCTTGGACATATTGGGCTTGGAAGTTGCTGAACAAACACCCAGTTTGGGCCCAAACCCCCCATATTTGGTTATTTCTTTTCACAATTTCATTTTTTTTATTATTGTTTAATTGTTTTTATTATTATTATACTAACCAATTGTTTTTCTCAATAAAATCAAAAAACAAAAAAATAATATTTTTATTATTCTCACTATTTTATTATTTTTGTAAATAAATTTTAGTCAATTAATTTAGTTTTTTTTAATTAGGTACAATATTAATATCTTTTGCAATAAATTAAAATTGACTTAGAATTAGGTTTTTAATATTTTTAACCATTCTTATGTTATTTCCCTAATTAAAATAAAAACCCAAAAATATTTTCATTTAATTAATTAATTCAATTATTAATTTAGACTAATTTTTAATTCAAAAAATAACAAAAATATGCTTTCTTTAATAAAAAGGGTCAAAACCCTAAGACACTTCGATTTAATTTTCTCGCCGCGAATTATTTTTTATCCATATTTCAATATTGTAACTGCTTCAGGAATGTAATAGTTTTTAAATTAGGATTTTATTTATCGCTTTTATTTACTTTTCGCAATTTAATTTTTAAGGGTTTGTCTTTGGCGATGTAAATACCCGACGCCTTGTAATAGCTTAGATTTATTTTCCGCAATTTACATTCCGCAACCATTAACTGTTAGATGTTTGATAAATATGAGATGCATGACAAGATCAATTTTAACCTAAAATCAATAGTAGCTCACCATAACATGTACAAAGATAATATAACTGAAAAACAATACACTCGCACATGCCACTCTTAGGGTACACCTCACTTGGTTGCCTCGAACGTGGTCATTGAGTATAGGAAGTTTTAGAGGTCGCCCTCTCGTCCAAAGATCATAAGTTGCCTCGAAACGGTTGCCTCGGATAAAAATGATCTAAGACATTAGGGTTACCGCTAAGGCGTCCTAACGTTGCTTTAGTGACCACACGTCCCTTAATCAAATTGACCCGAAAACTCCAACGACGATGCTACCTACTCCTCAATAGTGGGATAGCATTGTCTAAAGGACACTTGTACAGTTTAATTCCTTTTTGAGTATGTAGATGGTTCTTAAGTACTTGCTCTTTTTAAAACAAAACAAAAGTTTTCGCACTTACACTCTCTTCAAAAACAAAACTCTTGTCAAACCCACAAACAAAAAGAAAAGCAAACTTTTAAAAACATAATGAGCAAGTACCTAAGAGCCCGTGGATAACCACGGATAGAAAGGGTGCTAACACCTTCCCTTTCTATAATCTACCTCCCGAACCCGAGAAATATCTCAAAAAGGAATTTTTTTTGTGCTTTCGTCCTTTCCTTGTTGGATAAAATAAAAAATGGTGGAGACTCTTGCTTACCGCGACATTTTGCAATAACAAACGCAAACACGAACCAACATCCCAAAATAGTCAGTTCTCATTCCCACCGATCACAGAATTGGCGACTCTGCTGGGGAAGATTAAGTGAGGTGTACCTTAGGATTAGATCACTATGTTTTCAATCGTATGC